CCCCTCCTGCCCGGGAACGCTCTGCTGCTGTTTGGGAGCTGTTTTCTCTCTTGCTGGGCTGGGCTTTCCCGGGCTCTGGGAGCTGTGACTGGCACTGCAGGGAGACCTCTCGGGCACCCTTGAAGTAATCCCTCTTGGAACTGCAGAAGGGCTCTTCTGGAGGGGAAGTAGGTGGGAACATTTGCTTGTACCCATTGGAGGGACGCACCGGGCACGGTGGCCCCATGTACAGAGCCCACACAAGGCAATGCCACACGCATGGTACTTTCCAATTGAGCAGGGTCCAGCTCTGCAGCAGAGCCCAGGCTGAGCCCTCCTCAGGGCTCCCTGGTGGTTCAAGACCATCCTGAGGCTGTGCAGGTGGCCGGGAACAGGGCACTGGACAGATGTGGGATAAACAGGGCATGTGGGATGCTCCCAGAAGAGCCAGAATCCAGCTCTGGTCCTGGGCAGGACTTGGCTGTGTCCCAGGCACTGCCTGTGCAATATCCCAGCTTTCCACCAGGGACCGAGCAGCTCAGGGACCAAGGATCAGCTTCACCCTGGAGCTGAGTTTCCTTGAAATCACTGGTTACAGCTTCAAGGGGTGCCTGAAGCAGCACTGGCCTTGCCCTTTCCAGTAAGTCACAAGGTCTGGCAGGCCGGGGTTTGGGGCTGGGTCTGCCAGTGTCCACTTTTCAGGAAATCACACCCGCCTCCCCAGGAAGAGCTTTGCAGCTGGGTGGGCTGCACCTGCCAGCACTGCGCTACCGGCACGGGGCAGCCCTGGCCACCCGTCTGGAGTACAGACCCAGCCAAGGACCCGTGCCTGCCTGCCCGAGGTCTGCCTTGGAGATGGGGGGCTCCCAGCCAGCCTTTTGGGGAGCAGGGGGGCCCCTCCAGCTTACCCTGTGTCTCATCGAGTGTGGGAGAGCCAGTACTGGCCCACACCCGGGTGACTTTGGAGATGCACTGTCCCCCGTGGGCTGGAAATGGAACTTTCCTGAGGGCAGTCTCTTCCTGGAATATGAGGGTCAGAGCTTTGCCCTGCCCCCATGCACTAGCCCTGGACATACCCACAGACTGCACAAGTTTGGTTTCAAAGGACAAACAATTTATTTGGGACCTGAGGACATCTTCTCTCAGAGATGCTGACAGCCCTGGGGCTGGCCCACACGGGTGCTGCGGAGGGGTCTCCCAAGCACAGCTGCAGCAAGAGCCATCTCCCTCCTGCTTTCAGCCCACCCGAGTGAAGACGTTGTGGCCGGTCCTGCAGGCAAGCAGAAGGCTGTCGGTGGGGGGCAGGTGGAGGGGCGAGGGCCCCAGGCAGGCGGGGTGTCCCTTGGCTCACCTGGTGGCTTTCCAGTCACTGAGCAGGGAGTCGACCTTCTCCCGCAGCAGCCAGGAGGTCTGCAGGACCTCCTCCCCACCGTCTCTAGCAAAGCACTGGCCCGCAAAGACAGCTGTGGAGTCTGGAGGGGAGAGGTGGCTGTTAGCATCCCGGCACGACCCCAGCTGCTCTGAGGTTTCACAAGCCCCGGTGGGTTTGACGCTCACGGAGCCCGGGGGGTTCCTGGTGCCTGCACCAAAAGGCTCTGCGGCAAACGTGCCGTCAAAGCACCTCGCGATGCCGCCTCGCCCCAACAGGATTTCGGGAGGTGGCCTGAGGTCTGCAGACACCGTCCTGAGTGGGGAGAGATCGGGGAGGGACAGACTGGGCACAGGAGAGGGGACGGAGGCATTGGGGTGGGCACCTGGACCCGTCCGAGCTCCCCTCCCCATCCCACCACCCCAGCCGCACAGAGCTGCTGCTCCAGCTACTGACCAGAAAACTTGTTCCAGTTGTCGGTGAAGCCGAAGGTGCACTGCCCGTCCTCATCCAGGTGCTGGGAGCCGACCAGGGGCGAGGGCTCGATGGGTTTCTGGGCGCTGGACACGGCGGTGTGGTACTGGCCAGAGAAGTTGCCCTGGCCGTCAACGGCAAACACGTGCATCCTGGAGCCCAGGTCGTTCTCCCACCAGCCGGTCAGGTTGCACTGCCAGGGGATGAGCAGACGTGTCCCCTGGGCTGCCTGCACGCAGCCCCTTGGCCTGCACGCAGCCCCTTGCTGCGTCCCACGGCCTCAGACCCCTGCCCACAGCTCCGGCGATGCCCACGCGGCGCCCACGCTCACCGTGCCATTCCTTGTGGCGTGTTTCTGATCGTGGCCTGGCCACCTCCTGGGGTTGGTGGCTTTTTGCTCCTTGG